AGATTCCTTAGACTGAAAACACAGGCATTGGAAACTTTTTAAGACTCTTGCCCCAGAACCAAAGCCAGCAGCTAGTTAGGTACAAAACCCAAAGAGATGGAGAGGCAGGGTGGGATCTAAGCTGTTCCTCCTGCCTGGTGAGCCTCAAACTGTTGCTATGAAGCAGGTAGACTACAGTACTTGTCTTAGGGGAGGGACAGGACTGTCTCTACACTGCTCTGCCTTGGTGGCCAGGAGCCATGTCCCAGATTCTGCAGCAGGCTCATTACCGCTAGGCCTACAGGCTGTGTGTTTGATGCTGCTGTTTTAGGGTACACCCGCCCAACAGACCTCTCTGGAGTACCGGTCTTTGTGTAGTACTTATCTGATCAATTCGAAGTTCCACCCCAGGTTTATTACTCCTTTCTTGTATACTGAAAGACAGTCCCTGCCTTTTTGCACAGCACAGTCTGGGTTTTGTAGGAGGCCAAGTACAATGCGGTTTCTTTTGCAGTGGTAACACCTAGTAATTTAGTCATACAAAATTAGCAATGCAAAGAGAGAGGAGGAGGACTATTTCTCCCTCCTACGAGAGGGTGGGTTTGTACTAACCCCTCTCCAAAACACTCTTGGGTGACTTGAGGAGGAAATAAAGGCTTGTTATTCTTTCTCACTCTCCCTTTTGGGACAACCCTCCCTACTGAGCTTCTGTCTCTACTACCTTTCCCCAAGCAGCAGCATCCACAGAGTGAAAGGGATAGGATTCTTGCTGATTTCCTTGCTGCAGACAGGGCTCCCAAAATCAGCAGTGAAAATGGTCCAAGCTTTGTAAAACTGCCTTGCAAAACTTTTTATTTCTAGCGAGAAAAATGAAATACTCTCCAAGTAGCTGACTTGGCTTTTTGTCTAGACTGCTCACCATCAGTGAAACCTTCTGGTAGGTAGCTTGAGTCCAGCATTTAATCTTGTTGGACCAGGTGATTTCAGAAGTTAACAATGTTAATCTCCCCTTTCCTTTCCCCCCTACCCAAAACCCTACTCCCTGACAATCTTCACATTGCCATGAAAACACAGTGCCTGCAGCCACTCCCCTGGTAACCCCATCTTACTGTGGGAAGGGATATTGGTGTGTGGCAGGTGGGAGGGCAAGCAGGCAGTAAGTGGGGTTTAATTGTGCAGGAGGCTTGACAAAGTACATGTAGGGCAGATTCTACTCTAGGTATTACACAGGTAAGTGGACTTGGGTACCTAAGTGCGATTCCTGTCTACCCTGCCAGAGTCCCTGAAAAATTTTAATACACAAGGTATGCGAGTCCTCCTTTTCCTTGATGCTTCTTTGTGACTCCAGGGTCAGATGACCAGAACTTACAAAAATATACACATCATAGATTTTCAAACTTGAACGGAGTAGAACAGAATTTGCAGTTAGGTGCCTACGGCTACTTAAGAGGCCCAATTGGTGGTAGCAGGGGCAAGCTGGGGAAGTTCAGAGCATAATGTAAAGTATATGGATTGAACATGGGGATGATACCTCCAGCTCCTCTGGAAGGCAGCAGGCATAGGGAAGTGGCTCTGCACCTTTGGAAATCAAGCCATGAGTTTCATATGCTTGAGTGTGGATTTAGGTACCATAAGACCTCTGAAAATGCATGCAAGCAAACAGGCCCAGCTCTGGTTATTTGTGGAACAAATGCAGATTTACTGTTGGCTCCTATGGAGCTATGCAGGCCTACAAAGTCACTGCTGTTCCTCACTGTCCTTCTGGCTTTGTGCCCTGACTTACACATGCCTTCTGCCTGGGATGTGTGTACCTCTGTCATGAATAAAGTATCTGGGGTAAGAGAGCCAATACATCAAAAGCTTCCTGGTGCTGTGTTCTGTCAGTTATATCCAGCACAGATTAGTCCCCTTTTTTAGTTTAAGGCCACACCATATAGACATTACACTTTTACTGGTACAAGTGATCAGTAACCGGTCTACACCCATAACAGAACACTGGTTGGCGCACACAGATTGGTTTAAAAATGGTGGAACCTGGAATAAGATTTGCTTCCCGCGAAAACAAAGGGAGAATGCATGCACTGGTTGCTACTGATCTAAACTATGCCACTTTCTGAAAGCTGTGCAACTTGGATCGACTCCACGTTGGGTTTTTTGAATGTCTGTATCTAGCCTAAATACCTACTTTTATATCTCTGGGGTAAACCTTTATGGCCTGTATGAGATGCATACAGCACATTGATTGAAACTCCACAAGGTTCTGCAGATGGGTCTAGATAGGACCCAGGCACTTAATTTAGCTCCTTAGGAAATGGCAGCATCATAAAATCTCTTGAAATATTCTGTGCATTTTCTGACTTGCTCCTGTGGTGATGACATTTGGCAATCACTCCAAGAGTCAGGAGGTAGCATTAATCCTCATCATCACTTTATAAACAATCAGCCTCTCAAATTTGAAACCCACCTGGTTTATCTTGGAGTCACTCTCGACTGGACTTTAACTTATAAATCACATCTCCACAAAACTGTTTTAAAAATCAAAAGAAGGAGTAACCTATTTGCCAAACTTGCAGGCTCCACTTGGGATGCTAATGCCTTCACACAACATTAATCTGTTCTTGCACCAATATTCATCTGCTCTTGTTATTCAGTTATTCACCCCTGTATGGGCTTGTTCATCTCACAGAAGACTAGCGGACACCCAACTGCATGCTACAATGCATCTGGTTGTCAGGCATATTGTGCCCCACTCCATTCCTGTGGTTACTAGTCTTTAGTAACATTGCTCCCTCTCATCTCTGCTGCACAAATAGTGAAGTAAACTTATTGTCCAGACTCTGGGATAATCCTGTGTTGCCAGGGAACTGGGACATATGCCACCTACCAATAGCTCAACTCTCCTGAAGATGCCCAGTATGGTCCACCCTTTCAAAACTCTGACTTTCCTTGCTTAATGGCATGAAGAATGGTCAGCACAAGCACCAATCAACCACATCATCTCTGATCCTACAGTCAGTCAACCAGGATTTAACTGGCCATGCCACTACTGGGCACTTCTTAACTGTTTTCAAACTGGACAGTGTCACTGTACCTCAAACCTATACCAATGGAGTCTTTGCAATGACAACAAATGCCTCTCTTATATCCCACATTGTTGACTCATATCCATTTACAATGCAACCTGGTGGCCTTCAAGCTCTTCACACTGGTGACATCACCTTAAGATGGCTGAAACATGTCAAAACTACACATGCTAAATAAATAATTCTCCTCTCCAACTCTAGCCCCTTGCAGTAAATTCTTATTAAAGATAGCATCACTAAGTACTCATCAGGGGGTCTGCAATACCCTCTTTCCTTCAGGGAAAACCTGGCTGAGGCATTCTATTAGCTTTGAGGCCTATGGAGTTCAACAGGGGGCTGCAATTTCAGAGTTCACCACTACAAATATAAGCCAAGTTGTCAGGCTATGTCAGCCGGGCAACTGAAGATACAGGTGTAAAATAGGGAAGCATAGCCAAGCTAGTTTTTATCTAGCAAGTCTGGGTACTACTGCTAATGAAGATGGCTTGACACAGGTTAGCAGCCATTCAGGGTAACCAGGGCTCCCTGACAGCTTTGCACTCAGGTTACTAGTCTGCTCTGAAGCCTTTGCTGCACTTTGCTTTCTTGTTAGCTGCAGTACTTAAACTAAAGTCAGTGGAGGTATGCTTACCTGTGATACAAATGCAATTGCATTCTGCTGTGTAGGCTTCTCACTCCAGAGACAGGGGCCATCTTTGGACATCTGATTGCTGGGGCTTGGGAGGGAGGCATTATGGGTGGAAGGTTTTTCCGTTGCAAAACCTTATTTTCTTCTCTCTTTCTGCCTTTGGCCTGTTTGCCAGCGAGCAAGAGAGAGGTGTTGGCTTTCCCCCCACCCTGCATTGTTGATCAAGTTTTGTCCTTAGCTCCCAGCCATATTTTCAGGGAGAAAAAAAAAATCTCCAGCTGGAGTTAAGTAGCATTTCAAATTGCAGCTGGACACAACTGCGTATGGAGGGGTTTTGATGTTCCAGTACCTAATTTACGAGGCAGTCCCTCTGCACGGCTTGGTCACATCAGGACTACCTCCAGCATATTCAATGCAGTGAAGATAGGCTCACTGGAGGGATGGTGGGAAACTGACCCATGTTTCTAACCAGCATCAATCTGAAGAAATAGGCAGAAGGAACCAGTTTGGGATTTGTTATCATTGATGATTGACACTGCATCCTGTAAGGTAGGAGCCATAGTGTTGACAGTCACACAGTGGTCAGGCAGTATTGGAGAGGAGTGTGATGGACTATAGTTGTGTACCACTTAGATATTATCAACTTGCTCAACTTTGTATGGGGAAGCATCACTGGTGATGGGAATGATGCAGAATATGACCTGTGGAAAAATAATCATGCACTCTGTTGGGATGTCCCCAGCCCTAAAATCTTCAGCAAAGCAGGCCCCTGCACTTCACTACCAGGCTGGCCTTGGCCTCATAAAGAACAGACACAAAACTACTCTGACCCATAGTGCAATGCCACAATCCTTGGCCCTGCCTGTCTAAAGCAGAATGGAAGTGGAGAGTAAGTCACATGATAATATCTCCAGCATAAGCAATGGAGGAGCAACATAGCTGAGAGACAGCATTCAGCAAATCATTCTTAGTTGGGGAGTTTCACACCTGTATGGCAAGTTGGGGTTGTAGTGACATAATCAGACCACTACACTGCGACTCCTCCAGGAATGTATTTATTTACAGTAAAACACTATTATACAAACTGAAAAAAAGATGATGACATTTTTGAGGGAAAGGCATGCCAAGGCCAGCACACCCTCTGCACGCTGTCATTTTCGCATGCCGTATAATTCAAACCGTGAACGTTTTATGATTTGTATCAGCTTCTAGGAAAATCCCTCCCCTACTCCTGATCCCAAATGTTTGATGTTTGTTTAGTTGCTTTCAAAAACCTGTTTTATGCCTCCAAAGAAAACTCTTGCCCAAAGGTTTTTTTCTTAATTTATTTATGTAACACAGTGTAGAAAGCTATCAATTCATAAGCAATGATTCTGTACAATCATCCTGCAGAGACGTTGGTAGGATCCCCATTAATTGTAGGCCAGCAGGCACTTTTTCCCCCTATAAGTGCTCTTAATTAATAGGGATCCCTTTTAAAATTTTATTTTTTTTTCTAAAAGATCCAAAAGGTACATGAAAAAGAAAATAACTTTTACCTTTCAATGCCTAAGGTGTGCACATAAAACAGGCACAAAGAAACAAATGTATATTCCCATGATTTCTACATCACTAATACAGCAGAAGCAACAATCTGTACAATAAAATGCAACTGCAGAGGAAAATAATCTCGATAACTCATCTGGAATACTTTAAAAAATGTAGTAGTACTTTAAAATGCATAGTGATCAGAAAAAAATACTCAGCAAGGAGAAGCAGCTAAACCCCACAGACACAGAAAGCATCCCCCTTCAATTCTTAAAGCATATTTCAATTAGGACTTAATTTTTTTTGTCACAAATCACAAGAATAATATACAACTGGCTAAGGAGTTATATGATAAATAATTGGGAAAGAGAATCTATTCATGCACTAGTTAAATACAGCTAAACTCTTTACAGTACACAAAAAACATTCATTAATAATGTAGTGTAAAGACTGAAATGTAAAGAGAGAGCGAGAGAGACAGACAGAGAGAGAGACAGAGAGAGAGAGAAAATACATTACTGATTTTATTAATTCAAGTTCAGGCATCTACTTGTGTTACAGCACAGCTGTCAAAAGGCGATAATGAGTAAATAATAAAACAGAGTGTTTTTATTTCTTCCCACATTATTCTATAACTGAACACCGATGGGCAGTGAAGCAATCTTTTTGCTGTCCAACGCATGAGGCTGCTGCGGTGTTCTAGTTCTGCATCTGTTCAAAGAACTTGTAGGTTGGATTTTCATAGCCGTTTTGCTGCATCTTGGAAAGGTGGCGTTCCTCTGGTGTCACTGCAGCATCCACCTGTGGTGGGGAGGAAAGATTGCGGTCAGAGCTCCTCTTTAAACCACACGGCATCATAAATTCACTAAGAATCAGAGAATGGCGCTGGCTGCATGTGGTTGTAAACCACAAAACCCCTGGAAGTGAAAGATTTAAAAGCTCCAATGCACACACCAAAAAGAGAAGCAAGCAAATTCATCCCTGCTCAACCCCAACCTGACCGAAATATTCTCAGTAAACAGATAAGTAAATCTTGGGAGTGTGCTCACATGGTCAATGGATTCTGGCTCTGTAGGAATAACTGCTCTGTTGGAGGGTCTCCACTACGGAGCATACCCCTCTCGGGCAGTATCACAAGTGGCATGAGCAGCTGCTGTGTGGCACTAAGTACAGGCAGGCACTGCAATGGAGGCAGGGAACAAAGCACTTGGTGGAGTGGAGAGTGAGGCAGGATGCTGTTGTGAGGTATGGCAGGTGTCAGGGCCAAGAGCCAAGTTAACCCTTTCCTGGCCCTGCAGCCATGGCTGAATTTGGACTTTGGATCCTCACTCACCATATAACAGTGCAGCAGCTGTGGTGCCAGGAAAGGGCTAACCTGGCTCTTGGTGATGACACTCCTCCTCCCCCCAGCAGTCTCCTAACTACCCCTCACCCCCATCTTTGCTCTGTGCAGCCAGAGGCTTGAGCCCCACTGTTTCCATTCTGGCTCACTAGGGTGTAAACTCTATTGCAGGGACAGGCAACACCTGCCACAGGTGCTAGAGTGTGGCACTCAAAGGCATTTTGCTTGGCACATGTGCCTCTGGGTGGATGGCAGGGAAGGGGCCGGGGCTACGCAGCAACAGCAAGGATTGGGCCCCTCATGGCTCCCCCGTTGTCCACCCCTGGCACACCAACATCTTACAGGTTGAAGTTGTGGGTGTTTTCGGCACTCTGCCCAAAAATGTTGCTGACTCCAGCTCTATCAGGTATGCCTTGGTGGGGAGAGGAGTGGCGGAAGGAGTGATGGGGGACAGAGTGGTACTCAATGATGGACAGGTTTTAACTTGTGGTATGTCTGCCAGAAAGGCTGGCCACCTCTGCCCTAGGGCATGACAGCTCATTGTAAACTAACCTCAACAGCCAGGTTAAAGACAGAGGCCAAGATACTAAGGGCTCAAACCACAGAAGGGCTCACAGACAGAAGTCACCATCTTGAACCAAACCTGGACATGACCTAGAAGCCAACAAAGATCCAAGGAGCAGCGTGCAGGAAAAGCAGGTGTGTGCTATTCCTACTGGCTGGACCCAAAGGAAATTTCTTCTTCACCTAAACATCCCGTTTCACTTTTGTGCCGAAGTACCATGCAGGGTGTGTCTTGGTACGCACGAGAGCTGAACTGCGCTGTTCTAGGACCTGACAGACAAAGCAGCGTCATTCTATAATGTTGGTTTGACTGTTCTATTTGTCCCTGCTCCAAATTGTTTGCAACCTAGCAGATTAAAACAAAGTGCAGGGATGGGGTGTACTTTCCTGACTGTTTTCCTATTTCTCTTGCCTTTCAGGTTGCAATACCTTCAGGGCACTCTCTCTGCCTGTGCTCAGTGAATTCCTGGCATGCTGGGGGTGTGCCTAGTCTCCACACAAGGAAAACAACACTACACAGAACAAAGAACTTTGAAGAGACTCTGATGGCCTGTCTGGGGGGTCAGCTGGCACTCCTCAAGACTTTTAACATTTGTTAATAAAAGTTTAAAATAAAGATACTTGATGGGGGGCCAAAGAAACTACAGAATAAGCCAGCACAATTCCCACTGCATTCTCTGGGAAGACAGCCCTGTTATTCCAGCCTGAATTTGGCCTCAAAGTATCAGAAAAAGCACTTTACACGTCAGAACTAGTTACATATTTTCTATTTAACCAAAATTGACTGCTGTTGATTTTCTTAGAATCAATGGTTAAAACCCCATTGCCAAATAACTGCTGATCCATAGATTAGTTATCTCCTTCATTGAACATTAGAATAATATGACGCTACGTCAAATCAGAGCTGGTAAGAACAGTCCCAAAATGATAATTAGATGCTTTATCTCTGCTACATGAGCTCAATAACTGTTGTGTATTCAAAACCTACCATCTCCTGACTATATTGCTAAATACCTATTAAAAAGGAGATAAGGGAACCTGTCTGTCAGCTATTCTCTTTGCTGTTATCTCTAGTATTTGACAGTTTAAAAGAAAAAAAAGTTATTGAGTTTGTACTGTGCCCAAAGAGTTAGAAGCAAGAAGGGTACGTGGGTTTTTAAACTATGCTAAAATATTAGCTATGGAAATTTTAATGGTGAGTTTTGTTAAGTAGTGACCTTTAGCAAAAATAACTTTTTGTTTAGCGTAAAATAACCTTCTGGATAATGGAAAATGTATTCTCTTAAGAAATCTTATATAGTGGGCTGGCTTAGTCTAACCTTTTGATGAACAAGTAAAGAGGTGTTCATGCCCCACATTTAGTTGAAATATGACCTATTCTACTGGAAACATTTTAGTTTGATGAGGGCAGCCTGCCGGTCACACACTTTCCCCTACAGGTTATAGCACCCAACACCCCAGGAAATAAGTAAGGCAAGTTGCTCTACTGCTTAGACAAATACAACCCGATCTCATGATTTTTGTCACCATCCCTACTGGGGCTCTAAAGTTCTCTGCTTTCTACACTGAGTTAAACCTTCCAGTCATAACCATTTCCTACACATAATGTATTCCCACTGACTATTAAAAAAAAAGATGTAATGTTATGGAAGATACCAATACAGATATGTAGGGTACTTGCTGCATTTAAGTGAGACCTATAGATAACCATCCTAACTCTCTCTTCACATGTCCCAGTTATCAAAAGAGAGCAGTGCAAAACACTCACCACTGTCTCCAGGTTATCTGGAATTCTGTTTCTCTTTATATATGGGAAAATCCTTGCCCTTTAATCAAGCAAGGACACCAACTTTAGGGGTACGTGCTGTTTCCACACGCAGGTCTGCATCATTTTCTACACAGGGTGTCTTACCTCTTCCACAGAAGCTCAGCTGCTGGTGGAGAAAGGGTATTAGATGGAATGGACTGTGGCTCTGTTCTGAAATGGCACTTCCTATGCTCCCTATTCTGGAATGTAACCAGACCCCTGGGTTGTTAAAATGCTGTTATTAAAAGATGGCTTTAAACAGTTAGAAGGCAAGCTAGATATTAACAGCTGAGTCAGCAGTGAGCACTTCTTTCTTGCAGCAATATGGACAATGTTTGCTTCTTCTTTTCCTGTAAATCATTCTGTACAAGCCAGCTGCTGGTGAGAGAGGAGGCCCTTTTGCTTTTAAACTGCCCTTTCACTTCACATTTCTCTAGCTTCTGGAGTTAGGAAGAAACCTGCCCTTTTCTAAATAAAAACAAAAGAAATGAACAGTTCTTTTTCTCGGTTCTGCCAGAACATTAGTTTCTTTAGCTGGGGCAAGAGGCAGCTGAATGCTCAGCTGAGCTGTCAACAATCATTTCAATTTATCAAGGGCAGGAGCACCCTTAGGAATTTCACATCCTGGCTTCTCTTCCACCTCTGTGCTCAAATCCCCAAGACACTTCTCACACAATGACTTGCTCAGCAGCTAGCGCACAATCCTGCACTTTCATTTTAATGCCACTCTCCATGCCTGCCACTGCTCCTTCCCTTCAACCCACAGTGAGAGTGGGGCTGGTGATGGACTGTGACAAACCACTACAGATTCTCAGCAATTATCTTCAGGCTGGTTGACTAGCTCCTGCTGTTTAAATTCCTTTTCCTCAGAGGTTACCATTTCCCTCGTATGTAGAAATACTGTACGTAACACAAGGAATAAATACCTGGCAAGAATTATGTTCCGCTACCAGGAATCTGTACAACAGCACTTTTAATTAATATGTATGAATAGACAGTGCCCAATGGATCCAATCAGGTGTGTGCTGTACAAACAAACATATGAGATGTCAAACCTACCCAGAAGACTTTATAAAATGTGACATTGCTAGCTATTCTTGTCATGACAATGTCATGATCAAAACACTACTGTGTACCAACTGCTGCTTGTCAAAGTGGCCGTTGTCACAGACGTTAAGCAAAAAGGACAGTAAAGAATAAGCTATACAATTTTTAATAAGCTTCTAGCATGGGCTTAAAATGATTGAGGAGGGCATATAAGTACCCAGTAAAAAGCACCAGCTCTTTCCCCTGAATGAGCTGCTGTAATGTCAGATATGCTTCACATGTTGTGCTTGATTTGGGCTCTTATCTGTGCATGTAACATGCACAGAAACAACTGCTTTGTTCAGATCAACCAATGCAAGCCATAGGAGAGCTCACAGTCAAAGACAGTGTTATAAGAAGACTCTCAAGCTTAACAAAAGGGGTAGGGCAACCCCTAGCATGGGTGGCAGAATGTGGTATGCAAAGGCATTTTGTTTGGCGCACATGCTTTAGGGTGGATGGTGGGGAAGTGGCCAGGGCTGTACTGCCACAACAAGGATTGGGCCCTTCACAGCTCCCCCGCCATCCACCCCTGGAACATCAACATCATACAAGTCGAGGTTGTGGGTGTTTTTGCCACCCTACCCCAAAACGTTGTTGACCCCTGCTCTAGAAGTTAGGCTGATTTCATTCTGGGCCACAAGATTAGGGATTTCTGTATGTCACAACATTGATACAGATACCTTAAATACCACAGAAGAGGTTAGGTCTAGTAGCCTTGCTATCAGACTGGTCTGGACAGACTTTCTGCCCATGCTGTGCTCTCCCCATATTGAAGCCAGAGAATTCTCTAGGAGAGGAATGGTAGAAAGCTTTGTAGTGAATTCGATATCTCATTTAAACTTGGGGATTTAGCTCATAGCAATTTTATCCAGAACCACAGAACAAAGCACACAATCAGTACTATCTTCTTGGAGGAAAGAGAGGGTGAAAACACTAAAGAAATAAATGGAAGAGTCCACAGGAATCAAAGAAAGAGGAAACAGGCAAGAAACTGAGGAG